CTTTAAACTAAATGGAGAAGTGTGTGAGACCTGGTTCTGCTGTAAGGTGTTGCTTCTCTGTTGTCCTGGGGCTGGCTGGGAGCGGCAGCTCAGGCCGCGTGTTCAGCCAGAGCTGGATGCTAGAAGTGATGATAGAACCATGGCTGCAAACTCCATAGGAAATCTCTTTAAAGTTCTTTTAAATCCTCACAACAGTGTGTGAGCCATTTAGTCGCATCTTTTGTGTGTGGGGGAGGAAAGCTGTGTGTTTTTTCCCCGCGTGGAGGTTGCAACACAGGACCCACAGAACACCCCGTGCCGAGTGCCAGAACGGCAGAGCTGCCGCTGCGTTGTCGGCACGGGGAAGTTTGTTGTGGGATCAAAACAGCAGCGCTCAAACTTTAAACTTACTTCTGGTCCCAGTAGTCCATAAATAGATTTCCAAAACATGTCTATTGTCCAACAAGGAGTTTATTTATAAACTGAAAAAATAACAAGACTTAAACCCCAAAACCCCTCTTGGCCAGCAGCGCAGACTAGACTATTCTTTTGTCCTGTGTATGCCTCTGTATACCAAATAAGACAAACTTCTTTGAAGTTCATTTCAATGAAGTGTTTATGTTTTTTTGAGGACTAAAGATCTGGAGGAGAAAAAACATACTGAGTCTGAAATGCTGCAGCATTTTCTGGAGTTTGCTGCCCACTTTAGGGTTAAAGCTCCTTTTTTGAGGGAGTGCAGTTTGTTGGAAGATGTCACCCTTCTCTGCTCTTGGCAGCTTTGACGTGGTTTCTCTTGTGTTGCTGACATCATCTGCCAATGTGAGTTAGATCTTAGAACAGTAAATTTAACTTCTGATGTGTATTCAGGTGAGGGGCAATAATCCTGAACTATTCATTTCCATAACGTACCTCTATGCGCTTGCTCTGTTGAAAACTTAATGTTTCATGGCTGGCTTGTACCTGGAAAGCAAGAGAACCTTGATACACAAGGGTATCTTAAAAAAAAAAAAAAAAACTTGTGCAGATTTTGTATGCAGAAGATTATAGGTTGGTGGTGAGACTTTGCTTAACCTCCAAGCAAAAAGCTATTCCTGCCGTAAAGCTATTCCTATCTTTGGAACAGACAGTAAAAGCCAAAACCAAGTGAAAAACGATACATTTGGTTCAGTGTTTCCTTTCAGCATTGCCTTAGGGACCTCAGCAAAAAGTGTAACTTTTCCACTCACCTGAGTAATTTTGGCTGTTTTTCCCCCCAAGAATGCCCCGAGAAGCGCGAGTCGGTGTGTTCAGGCTGAAAAAGCAGGCACGTGCTCTTGGGGCGGGGGGTGAAGCCAGCTGTGAGCACAACTGCCTGTCTCAAGGGCGTTAGTGATTTCCCCGCACAGGGCAGCGGGGAGCTCTGGCAGGAACACGGCCCTTCCTCTCCTCTCGGCACCACTGACTTCTGCCGCTCCCACCCCAGCCCTCCTCCTTCCCTCCCTCTGTCACCA